CTACCAGAGCTCAGGGGTGAGTTAATTAAATATTTGACCAAAGGCAGCAGACTGATTTTTAAGTTGATAATTTTATCTGGCCTGTGAATAGTTATAAATTTTAGCAGAAAAATGTTTCCCCATCCCTGGTCAGTTTAAGGACTAAGGGGTACCTGATCCAAGCCATGGTATTTTCAATAACCTCATAAAATGCTAAAGTTGGAAGACCATAGAAGAACTGATGCATTTGAGTTATGTATGGTGTTGGAGAATATGAAAAATACCACAGAATGCCAAAAGAACAAACCAATCTGTATTGGAAGAAGTACAGCCAGAATGCTCCTTCGAAGTCAGGATGGCCAGACTTTGTCTCTCATACTTAGGACATATTGTCAGAAGGGACCAGTCCCTCAAGAAAGATATCATGTTTGGTAAAGTCGAGGGTCAGAGAAAAAGAGGAAGACCCCCAACGAGATGGATTGGCACAGTGGCAGCAGCAGTGGGCTCAAACGTAGCAACGATTGTAAGGTTGGCGCAGGACCGGGCAGTGTTTCGTTCTGCTGTGTATAAGGTTGTTATGAGTTCGTATCCACTCAATGGCACCTAACCCCCACCACCCCTGGTCTAAGGTATGGCAGAAATGGCACATGCCCTGGGCACCATGAAGTGGTTTCCAACACCAACTGTGAAAGATATCCTCCAAGAGTTAAAATTAATTGCCATAGTTGATAATTTCTGTAAGTGGAATGGGGGGCGGTGCGTGAACATTGTATTGTCAATGCTACAGTCCAGCAATATTTAGCAAGAGCCTGTATCAGACTTGAAGGAGACCTGATGGCACCGTGGGTTAAGCACTGGGCTGCTAACTACAAAATAAGCAGCTCGAATCCACCAGTGGCTCCTTGGGAGACAGATAAAGACAGTCTGCTCCCGTAAAGATTTATGTCCTTGGAAACCTGACAGAGAAGTTCTATAGTCGCTGAGTCAGAATCGATTTGATGATGTGGTTTTGTTTTTCGTGTTTGGCTCTGGGAGTCCTTCCTGGGTTCTTGTTGGGTTGTGGCCAGGAAATCCCACATTGTTAGTCTACATCAAGTTCTACACCCAAGGACTCCCTCAGAGGAAGAGCTCTGCACTTGTGGTTTTTGTCCACTGGGCCTATTGTACAGAAGCAAAGAGGAGCTTCAGGTCAGAGTGGGCCAAGCATGGCTATGTCCAGTACCCATGACCCTGAGCAGTAACATCATTCTACCAAGAGGCACACTGACCCTCGCTATGGGAGAGACAGGTCCCAGCCTCTAGACCAGCAGCTCTTCAGCTGAGACACCCATCTATGGCAATTGTCCTGTCTTTAGAGCCACCCTCTGGGACAAGGGAAGTGGAGGTTTCACTGACCAGCACCCCTTCCTGCCCCTGGTAGGCCCTCTCACACCTTCTAGTCTATTTTTAAGGACCCCCTACCCTTTGATGTGGAATCCTGGTGTGGTGCTGTGGGTTAATGCATCAGACTGCAAAGCCATTTGAACTGCAGGGTCGGCAGTTCAAGCTCACCAGCTGCTCCTCGGAAACCCTATACAGGGTTGCTATGGGTCAGAACCGACTGGATAACACTAAACAACAACAGTCTTTGGTGTGGAGGATTTTGTTTCACACGGTAAATATTGACTCTGGGTTAGTCCGAGCGCTCAGGTTCCCACACATGACCTCAGGTGGTACCAGAGGGTCTCAGCAGACATACTTCCTGAGCACCTACTACTACGTGGTGGGCTCAGCTGGGCCAAGAGACCCTACCCACACCGTGCTCACCTCCCTGCTTATCTGGATTGTGCAAGATGCTGAGAGGGGGTGGGTGTCGAGACCCCATTTCACATACCTGAGCAAACAGGCTCAGGAGGGCAGTGTCCTGTTCCCTCCCAGTGCCTGCAGGGCGTCCTGTCTGTGCCCAGTGTGGTCCAGCTCACAGACGGACTCAGGGCATCCCCACCCCAGATAGGACAGGAGGGACAAGGATGGAGTCTGCCCCACTCCCTCCCCCACTGTGAGAGACCAGCTTAAGGTTCCTCAACTTCTTGTCGAAGCCTGTCTAATCTGGGACCCTGAAACCCCGCCCCGAGGCAGCTGGAACCCCCCACTGCCCCGCAAACCCAACCATAGTCATCCTCAGACACACTTGCCTCATTCCACCCCATGTAGCACTGGGGGCCCTGAAAACAAGTCGGGAGCTGACAGGAAAGCACAGGGGTAGGATGGGGGGTGATTACCAAGAGTGAGGAGGATCCACAGACAGAGACTCAGAGGGGCAGAAGAGGGAGAGGGAGCACAGAAAGAAGGACAGAGGCCTGGGGGACAGAGATGGGGCAGGGGAAGCAAAGACCCAGAGAAAGAGGGAGGCGGAGACCCAGAGAGCAAGGGGGACAGAAAACCAGGTGGGGGGTACACAAACTGAGTGAAGATAGAGACCCAGAGAGGAGGGGGACAGAGACCCAGAGAGAGAGACACAGACCCAGAGAGAGGGGGACAGAGACCCAGAGAGAGAGGGGGACAGAGACCCA